AGGCATGGCATAGAGAACAGCTTCAAGGAGGGAAATCCCCCATCCCAGAGCATCACTCACAGCCATTATCAGAGGGTGAATTTTTTTTTTTTTAAACCAAAACCTACCGTTGCAGCTCTGCTCAGAAAAACATGAGATATCATCAGTGGAGCATGTTTGGAGGCTCAATGACAGCCCGAGAACATTATGCACGTGTTTCCTGGACGCAGGGGATGCAGTGGTCACATTCTTTAAGAACCAGGCCCTTGGAGTGGATACTGTGGTTGCTTTTTATGCACACAGGTCTCCTCAGCCCTCAAAATTTCCACATGCATAAGATAATTTTATGAAATCACATTTCCAAGTTTTCCTGTTCATATTCATTTTCTGCTCGTTCGCTCATTTTGCCATCTGTGAGAATCCGCGAACACACAAGCTACAGCAGGTGCCAAAGGTTTAAAAACATTATGGGAGAAAAAACTTGAAATTGATAAAATCCTATCTATCTTTTCTTCCCCCTTCTCATAAATTGAAAAATGACAGTTGTTATGTCATTTTAGGGGAAGGAATGTGGGTCGATCTTTGCGGTACTGTCATGGTCTTTTGGAGGGTTCATTAGCACTTTCCAGACCAGGATGACTTTGCCTTGCATTGGTGGATCCCTAGAGGATCACAGGTGGCCTCTGGAGGTTCAAACCCTCCTGAAATTATATGCAAAATTATCTGTATGTCTACATGACCACGCAGAAAGGGGAAAGAGTTCCTAGTTGTTGTCTTATTTTTAAGAGAACCAGTCATCCAAGCAAGATTAAAAGTCAATGTTTTATAGGAAGAAGAAAGAAAAGATAGAAAGTGTTTGATACACCTTAGCTCATTTAATCCTCATAATAACCCTGGGAACTAGGCACCATCATTTCTGCTTTACAGCTAGAGGCTCTGAGCAGTAAATCAAATATTTGCTTGGATGTCTGACACTCTCAACTTAGACTCATAGACTGTTAGAGTTGGGAGGCACCAAAGGGATTATCTGTTCATTTCCACCCTCTCCCATTTGATAAAGGAGGAAGCTGAGGCCGAGGGAAGGGAAGTGAATTGAAATGCCCAAAGTCAGGTGATCAATTGACCACAGAAACAGGTTAAAAATTCAGTCTTCTTACCCTCTGGGTAAAACCTATGAAGGTTGTTGTTCTGTTCTTGAAGTGCAAATGAGCATAGGTTTCATCAAGTGTTACACTGAATTAGTAAGAGATTCTCTTCTTCCCACCTGTCGTCAGGCAGAATTGGGTCCTATAGCCCTGCTTCATAGTCCCCAGGGACCTCATGCCCCAGAATACTCAACCTCGTAGGCTATTCCTAATAGTGGTAGGAATACAGAAACACATGCACAAAATGATTCCATGTGCTGAGGGGCTAAGAATCTTCCATGAGTGGAAGAAAGGCATTATCTCAATAAATCAACCCTTGGCTAGGGAAATGTTCATAGGCTCTTGGGGAGCAGGAGAAAGAGCTTGGACTTCAGCCATGACACCCCTCTCAGCATGGTGACCACACCCTTTATCCTTCAGCATCTGCCTACCTCTTGATGGTCACTTGGGACATTTTTCCCCTTCATGTCATTGCTTGGGTTCCCCTGGACAGGTTCCCCTGGACAAGTTTCCCTGAATGGTGCCTTCTCCAGGCTCCCAGGCTTTTTATATGCCACTCTCTCACCCCCTCTTCAACTGGGAAACTCAGATTCATCTTTCTTAGTTGTCTGCTAACTCGTTGTTTCTGTGTATGGAGTAACAATTCCTTGAGGGCAAGTGCTAGCTCTTTAACAGTCGACCCATAGCGTGGCATGACTGGTGGACCTGTGTTGTTCCTGCCTTTGGCCTGCTTCCCTCCCTTGCTCCCTTCCCTACTATGCCAGAAAGTTTGTTCTGTGCAGCAATGGGTCTGCCCTGGCTGTGTGTGGGTCAGGGCTGGCTGCTCCCAGCTGCAGAGGCAAATTCCTTACCCTCTCTGAGCTCCTCTACCTTCTTTGAAACCAGAGAGGTTGTTCTTTGGGATCTCATGGTGGCCCCCAGCTCCATGTACAGCTTGGTTCTCAAAATCAAATTGAAGCCTCTGAGCTTGTGGAGGAGAAGGTTTTCCTTGGGCCTCTGGGCTCAGGTGGACTGAGCTGAGCTTTCTCTGAGGGAACACATTCCCTAACCAGGTTCACACCTGTGGGCGAGGCCCGCCTCCAACTTCCTCCCTCTTTGTTCATCAAGAGCCGTTCTCCAGACCCTCTGTGGCCTGCTCTCCCCCACGTGAATGCTTGTAGCTCCACAAATGTCTCAGTAGGAGCATTCGTGGTTAAAATGCTCACAAAAATAGCTCTAAGCTGGAAGGAGGAAAATAAAATAACTCCAGCTGCTCTTTGCCAAAAACAACAAAGCAATGGTGTGTAAGCAGCCAA